ACCTGACGCCTTAATTTTTTATTCTTTTAGATTCTCACTTGACTTTTGGTGACAATTAGCAGAGGCCAGTATGAGTCTCTCCTTGTAGAATATAATTTTTGTAGCATCCCAACCTAACATAGTCTAAACATGCGGGGGAAAAAAATAGTTTTTTTTCACGGGTGTGTGTTCTTTACTTCAATTAAACTCACACAGTTGGATACTGACTGTTGCCAAAACAGTAATATAATTTATACATTATAGTCCACACAGTAAAACTACACTAAAAGTCATTTAACAATATTTATAACACCATAAAATACAGTGTTAAAATATATGAACTGCAATATGTACCAAAATTATAAAATTTGTTTCTCATCATCAGTGATTAAAACCAGGATCATTGCTCTAGCCTCGATACCCACAACCCTGGTGACAGATTAGAATTCAAATCTTAATGATCAATTTACAATTAACAAGATAGAAGTGAAACAAATTAAACCAACCATTATATATAACGAGACCCAATGGACTCCCATTGTTCCTCTTAATTACAAAACGCAAATCACAAATACACAATGGGCAGTGTTAGACATCAATCCACAAGCCTAGCAACCCAGAAAGTGACAGTGATGGGGAAAGAAAGAAGAGACGCAAAACCAAAACCACCACGTAGACCGGGGCTCTGTGCTCGCTGCTAGCCTGTCTCTCCAACATGCGAGTGCCGAGGGGCTGCAACCCAACCCGGGCTTGATCGCCCCCCTGCAGCTGGTAGAGGCTCCCTCCTCCCGGTGCCCAACACTTCTAAGCTCTTTCCAGGCCACAGTCCGAGCCCTGCAAACTGCACTGCAAACATTTTACTGCTGATTCATCCAAACACCTGCGGAGAGGGAACACTTCCCTCACTTAGATAAAGAGAAATCACAGTTGCACCAAAGATATTTCAAGAGCTCCACTTACCACCCTCAAAAACAACCCTAGGACTTGTAATAAGCTCCCAGGGTCCCGGGGAATAAAGACGAAAGGGAAGCTAAAGTTTATGAGAGCCTCAACTACAATCAGCCGGCTTGCTTGCCTGGTGCCAATTAAAAGCAAAATGGAATTAATTCTCCCGTCTCGTGGTCAGAAACCAGCTATATCAAATGCACAGAATTGGCAGCTCATTTTTCGTCTGAAAATGGGATGTGCCATTCACAAACCCTGGAGTTACAGACACCACCCAAGCAGTGTGGAATGCGCCGTGCAGAAAGTATCGCGCTGATCACTGGGGAGGGCTTGCAGACAACAGGAGCTCAAGGAGCTGCCGTAATACCACGCACGTTACTTGGGGAGAAAACACATGCAATAGGCACACTCGGAGGAACCATTTCTAAACACTTGCGCAGGGCAGCCTAGCCTGAGGCTGGGGTAACGAGTCGGGGCCTCCTGCACAGTGAGCCCGGACTGTCAGCGCTCCTAGGGACGGCATGGGCTCTGGTCAAATGGCTAGATCTCTGAGTAAAAAATAAAGCTTATTATAAATGGTGTGAAGCCATTTGGTTAGTATGGGATTATAAATAATGTGGAACTCTTCGAGAAAATGTCCTGAGTAAGAAAAGGGGAACCACAAACATTGTTCTCGATTGTTGAGCAATACAAAATAAATATAATACCCACTTTTAAGAAAAATTTTACCCGTAGCACTCTGAGGACAAGCTGCCTCAAAATTACCATGTGGTTTCATTATTGTGGAGACTGAACTTCCACAACGACAACACTTTAGAAAGCTCAGAAAACTCCAAGATTTTCCTCACCTCAAAGCACAGGAAAAATCATTTATCCTCAAAGTTTAGTACAGGGTGTGCAGAGCTCCCGAAGGCTTCTATAGGGCTTCATAAATTTATAATCTTTATTTAAAAAGAAATACTCAGAGGCCTTCAAGTTATATAGGTGAATTCAAAGCAAACGGTTAATGTCAAAATCAAATGATACATTTTGTACGAATTTTGAAAATGTCATCCTCATCATAGAGGGAGCCAGAGGGAAAAGAGACTCCGTGGACAAGAAATTAAGAGTCAACAACCAACCAACCTTAAAATCACAGTTTATCGTATCTACCACGTTCTTGTGAGACACACAAAATGAATATTTTGTAAACTTTGGGGGCTCTTAAAAGTTTTAACCATAATACGTAACAATTTTTTGAGTGTTTACGATTGCCAGGCCTTGGTTTTGGATAAACTTGCAAAGTTACAGTAGATGACTATTTTAATTCTTCAGATTTACGGAACAGGCCATCTCAGAGCAGGACTTGAAACACAACCAGCCCCATAGTTTCCCGATCCTGCTTTGTTTGCCTTTACAAAGGTTTTTCTTGTGGTATAGACTTTATGTCTGTCAGAATAGCACTCAGACCCTCCCTGGAAAAGACAATAATACCTAGATCGAAGTCAAATCCAAATTGCCCCGGTCAAGACCCTGAAAACAACGCCATCAGGTATGGTTCTACTTCCGTGTGTCAAGCACCATGCGAGGCCCTTTACATACGTGTGTATGTATATATGTGCATCGTATATCTCTCGGTGTTTCTCATCCCCACAACAATCCTGCAACATGGTTTTAGAAATGTTTGAGGGGCCCCTGGGTGGTACAGTCGGTTAAGCACTGGACTCTTGTTTCAGCTCAGCTCATGAACTCAGGGTCGGGCTCTGTGCTGAGTGTGGAGCCTGCTTGAGATTCTCCCTCTCTCTCGGCCCCTCCTGCTGCCCCTTCACGTTTTCTGTCTAAATAAGTAAATAAATAAATAAATAAATAAAATACATTTCAAAAATATACATATTTTATAGATGGAGAAGCTGAGGTTTGGAGGGATTAGGCAATGTACCCAAGTGGCACAGCGAGATTCGAACCTAGTTCTTTCTGAATTCCAAAGTGGTTTTCACTGCACCCTGCCTGTCATCAACATGGGAACAGGTTGGGACCAGAGTCAGGTCAGGATACGAGGTATAAAACCATACTTGTTTCATTCATTTAGTCAGTAAGTATGTACTGCATGCCAGGTATGTATCAGACAGGAGCACGCTCAGTTGACAAAGCAGTGGTCAGAAACTGGAGGAACCCGAAGCAAGGGGAGGAGGAGAGGGGCTGAGGCTCAGTTTCCCTAGATCAGTACAGGGTACATGGATAGATCCAGAGCAGAAGAAAGAGGGCCCAGGACACAGGGCACAGGTTGACCCAGGCTCCCAGGCTTACCCTCACATGACAAGCATGTCTACTTCTCCATGGGAATTTAAAGAATATTTTTTTCTTTCCCAAACTTTCTCATCATAGCTGCTTTGGCCTGATTTTCTTTGGTAGTAGATGTACAAGAAAGATCATAGGCCTTGGAACTAGAAATATGTACAGTAGAACTCTAGCTCTCCCACTTCCCAGCTATTTAAACACTCTTGAGTATTGGCTTCCCCACATGTAAAAGAAGGTAATAATTCCTGTCTCAAGTTGTAAGAATTAAATAATATATACCAAGCATATAGTACCTCCTTCTCTTTTATATGCCGCAATTTCCAGAATTATGTCTCCTCAGCAAGATAATTAATAATCAATCATGAAGCAATCTTAATCTTTTAAGTCCCAGATCAATGTAATTTTTTCTTAGATTATATGATCCAGTTTTTTTGTTTGTTTCTAACAAATTACTTAGTTCTGGGTTTATGTGAGGCAAATCAAATATTTCTAGTTAGCAGTAGCTACTGTTGATATATTATGAGGGTCTCTCCTGCAACAAAATCATTTGGGTTTCCTTGTCAAACTTCTTGGAAATATCTGGTATTTTGGCACCCTGAGCTTTCCTCTACTCAAACTAGATCTTTAATTAGTATTTGCTAAGAAGGTGCACATGTCAGAGCACATTCTGGGAGCTTTATAGGAGCCTCTGTCTTCCTGTGAGCAAAAAGAACTGGATTCATCAGCCCTGATTCCCCAAAGGATTCAGGGATAGGGGTTCCAATAGCTAAGCCACCTCATTGATGCAGGAACACAAGATAGAGCTCAGGGTGATCAGATATGCTCTGATTCTCTAGGAAATTCTTTCTGAACGAGATACCTAAGTCAGAAGTTTGCTGAGCCCCACTGCTTGCTCTGTGTAAATCTAAGTGAACTTCAGAAAAATACAGACGAGATCTACAGGGTATTTTTCCATCGGGTTGTATTTTAATGGGACATCTGATATCTAGTTAGTTTATGTGAACGATGCCTTTTATAGTTTAATTCAAAGTGATTCTGTCCAATACCATTCATTTATAAGAGGAAAGCACAGTTCAAGCAAGTCAAGTAAATTTGTCTGAGATTAGACAGTTACTCTCAGAGCTGAGATGAGAACTCAGGCTTCTTATCATTTAGAGTATAAATCATTCATTCATGGAAATAATCTGATTAGAAAATGTGCAGAAAATAATTCACGAAGATCCCAATCAATGTATTTTATAAAAGAGCAGTGTACCTACAAAATGAATGATAGCTGTTCTAATAAATTAATTTTAGGAGAACAAAAGGATGGTTTGGGTTTATTTATTTTCAAGTATCACCTACTGTCATTTTTATAGATACACATTTCATCTATTATCATTTGACTTAAAGATAGTTTCTGGGTGTTCGTGGAGAACTGTGATAACAGATTAAAATGTTAACTCTATTGATGGAAGACTTTAAAACTGCTTGATTTATCTGAATCCTTTATTAAAATACTTGCCATCTTGACCTTTGTGTTCTGAAGTTTCATAACTGTCGGTTCTGAACGTTAAGAAGGTCAAATAATAGTACGTATACATAACCATGAAAAAAAAATACCAAGGGGTTTGTATGGACAATTTAGAAACTGTACATATTAAGAAATTGTCCATACAGAGGAAATATTTTTACAGGAAATAGGTCAACACATATCTAATTTTGACATTAGCCTCAAATAGTGGAAACACCGTTTTTTAAGAAAAAATGACAGTATTTACACAAACATTGCTCTGAAAGTATCATATAATATTACCTACCTGCTTTTTTTAGAGATTTGCTCCAGTTTCTTGGCTAATGCACAGCACTCTTCCTTTAACTTTGTCAAAAATGTATTCTGGGAGGTCAGCAATGAATACTGTTCATTTTCTAGAAATAACAATAAACCCCCCACCAATATAAGATGTTTATGGTTGTAACTCTGCAGGGCTTCCATATGTAGACCGGTAAAAGTGTTAAAACCACTCCCATTTCCTATAAGCCACCAGGTCAATTTCAGTGTCCAAAGTCAAAGGACCACTCACCTGGCAAGATACTAAATCTTGGGAGGCATTAATTTTTCTAATAATTACACCCCAGAAACAGTTTTGATCATACACGTTTGGGGTAATGGTTTAATGTGTTGATAAACTGTCAGATTATCTCAAGGGGAGACATGGATGCTTATATCTTTGTAATATGCAAGATATTACATTTTTATTTTGACAATTTCACTATAAACAGTGTCAAGAATGATCACAACTAGATAATTCACAACTAAAATAACGGAGGAACTTTCTTCTATACTGTAATTCATGCTTTATGTTTCGTATTTGCCCACAGATCTCACTATCCCTGCCCCTTGTGTACACTTCTTTCATTATGAAGGTAAAGTACATAATTTTCCCTAGAATCTGGATTTCATTGTCAACAGTATGAGTTTCACTAAAGATCTGGTCAAAGGAATTGAAGGGAGTGTGGTATTTTTGTGCAAAATAAAAGGAAGTGTTCTTAAGAAGGTCTTAGCCATTAAATCCCCTCACGTAGCACTCAGAGATTGTGCCCAAAACTCCTTGATCACTAGGATCCTGCAAGCAGGAGTGGCAAACACTAATTTTTCCTGGAATTTCCTCCTTTTATTTTTAGTGGAAAAACATCTACTGAGTCTGGAAAAATGCCGGAGGGTATCATGTGGGTCAATATGACATTTGCCTCTTCATAAGCAAATAGATGATTTAATGAATTTTACGTTTCCATTTTTCACCTATAGGATGAACAATCATTTTTTACCCTGTCATCAAATAGAGTGTACACAAGATCATGTGAACATTATCTTTAAGTGTCAGGCTTAATAAGTCCCTCTATTTCTTCCCGATTTTAGCCACTGACTGGCAAAAAGCACATAGCATACAAAGCAAAATAAATCAAGGCACCAAAAATTAAGCAACACTTTTCTGGAAGAGACAGGATCAATTAAACTTTTGTTTTAATAGTCCAATCAGCTCAGAGTATGTGGTGTGGAATTATAATGACTGACATGGTCTTGTTTTGACTAACACTGTCTGTGAACACACAACTCACAAGTGAAAGGAGCTGCAGAATGCTCCGGCTGAGTTCAGCATCAAACTGCCTGCTTTGAACAAAAGTGCATTTTACTTTCAAATTAAAGGTAAAGAGTTACTGGCCAACTCTGTCTGCAAAACAGCACCGATGTGATGAGAGGTGGCAGTTTTTAGCCACGCTGACAGCTGTGGCCAGTGCCTTGTATTAGGGAATTTTCACAGCAGTTTGAGAACTTGAAGAATGCAAAGGATTAAACATCACTCTAGATTGGGCTGGGGGAGGTGGCGAAATCATACAAATGCTAAAAATGTTCGAAGCTGCAAAGATTAAATAAAGGAACATATCAATTTGGAGCCACTGAATTACATCCAGCTGCGACAGTGAATTAAGAACCGATTAATGGCTAAAGCTTTTCTCCAGTTTGGATGCTGAAGCAAACTCATTAGGCTTTTAGAGTAGCTATAATGTGTGTACTGTGGGAACTGTTCAGTGCTATTCAGGAGACTCTAACTGTAAGCTCAGAGCATTTCCCGCAGAGCTTCTGATGCTATTTTTTTATATAACATGTGTGCCTGAAAACCCAGCCAAAAACAAGCCCTTTGTTTTTCTACTTTGTTGTGGTCTCTCTCAGCTTTACGTTTCTTGAACACAGGTAAATAAACTCATAATCCAGATGGTGCAACAGATGTGAGAGCAGTACTCTGAAATCAACAGACAGTGGGCAATACTTTCCATTTTCTCTTTTAAACGCTAACTAATATGTAATTCGGAATCTCCGGTGTAGTTAGCATCTGCTCCCTTCGGCCAGCCAAAGGTTACAGGTGTTCCTGATGTCATTTCACAGTAAGGCGTGGGCCTGGCTTGTGAGCCAGGGCCCAGGCTCTAATCTTTCCCTACCACCTACCAGTTTTGTCATGCTGGGCCTCCATTTGCTGTATCTTCTGTGTCAGCTCCTGTTCTCTTTGCTGGGCCTGAAGGGCTTGGGCCTTTGCTTCATTGCTAAAGCTCTGCTGAATGCTATCTTTTTCCAGTCTACAAAGCAGAGAGGAGACAGACAGAAATGTAATCTACAGATGCACCAAGGCCCACCATTTCCCCTACAGACCACAGAGAGCTGATACCTAGTAAATTGTGAAGCAGAAGTGGACAGCAATCTGTCAGACCCCCTCCTCCCCTACCCCTCCACCTTCCCGGCCCCCCTCTCCTCCCCCACCCTCTCCCCCCCGCCACCCCGGCCCCCTTGGGGGGAAGAGCCAAGGGGCCTTTCATGCTGTGTTTAATACATGCCATATATCGAAACGGACTAAAGTATACAACTTTAAAAATCAAAAAATCGTGACAGCCGAATATTAATATTTTATAACCTGAAAACACAAACCTCCTTTCCGGTAAGATTGTCAATGTTCTGGGCCACCATTTCCTGTTTTATCTTTTGAATGGTCAATATTTCCTACAAATCTTGCGGTCCTACAAATGGCATGATTCAATACACCAAAACTTAAATTCTTGAAACTCAGCTTTGTAGACCACCTCTGCTTTTCCTCCCCAACTTAAAATGGAATCTCAGATAGAATGTAGGAGATCCAATCTAGAAGCAAGGAAATGATTCTGCATGTTTTCGTTAAACATTTCCGCACATTAGGCTACATGATGGGAATATAAATATGAATATGAAAATGAAAAACTTCCCCCAGCACATCAGAATAAGACCTCTTTTGCGTCATGCTGAGAGAAGTTGCACAATGAGAATATTCCATCGTCCAAGACAACGTCCCACCCCGTGGTGATGGGATATTGACCCAGCGAGATGGGTCATCCCACTGGGTCAATATCCCATCACAGTGGCGCCTAAAGAAAGAAACTGCCTAAACAATTGGAAGCTGAGGAAGCGATACTGAATACCGCACACACACGTCAGGTTGGTTCCGCATACTCTGAATACAGGTAAGTGGAATGAGGGTTTCCTCTAATTAACTGAGTTATGTCTAACTCCTGATCTCCTTGTGGGCATTTCTCATCCGTGCTGTTTTAGTTTACTAATTGAGATATTTACTGCCTTGCCTTTGCCAAACCAAAAATAAACAATTCCATAAAGCTATCCCTAGTAGTCTACATACCGCTGTGGAGCTTCGATTCATTGGCTTCTAATTATAAAGCAACATAAGGAAAGTCTGTATTGAAATTGGTCAATGCATGTGGTAATGTTGTAGTGTAAAATTTCAGGAGGAAACTATACCCATACCTCACTCAAATGGAATCATCAGGAGTCCACGCTAAATGTGAAATAAGGTCCCTTCTGGTGCTTCTAATAACAACACCCCCTTGGACCTGCTCTAAGGTCTTCCCTCACACTAAGTTCCAAACTGGTATATTGCAACAAATAGATACACTAGGCCACTTTTTGCCTCCCCAGTCACACCATGCATCTTCTGCCCATGGATCCCTGCATATGTCTCTTTGTTTTCCTGGGATGGCCCCCACCCTGCATCCTGTTCCACAGCCCCCCACACTCACCCCCACTCCTCTCCCTCTGCTCAGTGTATACTACTCCTTTAAGGTCTGCTCAAAATTCTCCCCTCTCCTTCCATTCTCTCCTAAATTAAGTATTCTTTCCTCGGTGACCTTAATATAGGTTGTAAATGGATACGTCCTACTAAGATGGCATTTATCACACTTGACTTACTGCTTCTTGTCATCTTTGTCTCTCTAAATCCGGAGCCCAGCTCAGGATTGGCACATAAGAAGGAGGCAGTGAATGCTTAATGAATAGATGTTCTTAGACCCTCGCCATGGGGGAAGGGAGGATGCAGTCTTTAGTGAGGCTGGAGAATCTGCTCAAAGCTAGTTTGAGGAGGCAAAAACTTTTCAGACATTTCAAAAGGAAGAGTGCCTGGAAGAGAGAAGCTCCAGGGGCTTCACTAGCTAGAAACCGTGCTGCTGAAGGAATCAGCCTAAAAAGAGACTGTGGACTCTTCCACTGAGGAACCACCCCAATGTCAGGTCCCTGGTTACAGGCATGGAGATGTGAGGCTCTGAGATCACTAATAACTGGGTAGCCTTACAACACACTGCTCAAAACCAATATCCATTTGAGAGTGAAAAGGAGTGCTACTGATAATCATACCAGGACAACAGCCATGACTGGGGCTACCCTTTGCCAACCCGGGCTATGGTTCTCCTACATAAAGGGGTTGCCAGGCTTAACATCAATTTTTAGCACGAGAAGCTGCCTAATAACGGATATTCTAAATTTACTATAGAAAAAATAACTACTGTTATTGTAGTTCTCCTTAAAAAATAAGACAATTTAAAAGAATGCACTACTGAGACACCTGGGGGCTCAGTCAGTTAAGCGTCTGTCTTCGGCTCAGGTCATGATCCCGGGGTCCTGGGATCAAGCCCCTCATTGGGGTCCCTGCTCACCAGGGAGCCTGCTTCTCCCTCTCCTTCTGCTCCTCCCTCCCACTTGTGCACAAGCTCTCTCTCTCAAATAAATAAAATCTAAAAAAAAATCAATGCTCTACCAACAAATGTTGACTTAAACACCAAGTTTTGTTTCTTGAATCCTTCTCCAATTTTTACTTTATTTAAGAAACTACGTGTTATTTTATAATTTTTAATCGAGGTATAATTGACATATAACATATTAGTTTCAGGTGTACAACATAATGGTTCAGTATCTGTACATAGTACGAAATGATCACCACAAGTCTAGTTAACATTTTTTTTCATTGCATAAAAAACACAGCATATCTTTACTTTCCTATTTCCTCCCTCCAGCCCCCTTTCCTCCCGTGTTGCCTTCTCCCTTTGCAGGTTCTTTCTGACTTAGTAGGCTTTTTATAAAACCTTAGAATGTTAGAACTGAAAGGGAATCTCAAATCTGTTTAATCAAATCCTCTCACATTATAGCCGAATAAAGAAATAGGCTTGAAGGTTACATTGTAAGTGATGTGAAGGCAGAGGTGGGACTTGAAATATTCTGATTTAGGGAAACCTATTTTATGGCACTCCAGAGGTAATGCAATCATGGATTGAAAGAATTAATAAAAACCACTTATGTGTCCAAGGGGAGGGATTAGAGAAGAATCCAAATCAATTCATATAATATTTATCATAACTCTATTATGTAAAAGACACTCTGCTAGGCACTGAGTCAAATAGAGATAAATGTGGCATAGTCTTTGCTCCCAACAGGGACTTCAAAATGGCTAAAATAGGAAGTAGAAGGTGGAATACACCATAAGAAATCTACCAAATTTGGGAAAACTACCAAAGCAAAGAAAAATGAGAGGTCCGTCCTAGCTGGGTGTGAGAGTGTCAGAAGGGTGGCTGAGCTAGTCTTCCCCAACTGGGTTTCTTTCAGTTCTCACTCAGAACACTGATGATTTCATTTAATCAAACTTTTAGTTAGCCATATTTTATAAAGTGGAATAAAAGCAATGGCAGTAAAGAAGAATTTCTTGGTTGTGATTAAAATGAGGCTGAAAGATTTAGTCATAATTGCTAAAAACTGGAAACAGTCAAGGGGCGCCTGGGTGGCTCAGTTGGTTAAGTGTCTGTCTTCGGCTCAGGTCATGATCCCAGGGTCCTGGGATTGAGCCCCACTTCAGGCTCCCTGCTCAGCGGGGAGTCTGCTTCTTCCTCTTCCTCACCCTCCCCCTGCTTGTGCTCTCCCTCTCTCTCTCTGTCAAATAAATAAATAAAATCTTAAAGAAAAAAAAACTGGAAACAATCTAAATGTCCATTAACTGCTAAATGGATAAAGAAACTATGGTATTGCCTTACAGGGATACTAGGAATAGTAAGAATAAAAAGGAACAAGCTACTGTAAGTAAAACACACGGATGAGCCTCAAAAGCAGTATGCTTAGTTAAAGAAACCAGACGCCACAAACATATTGTATGATTTCATTTACATGACGTTCTAGAAAAGTAAACACTAGAGTGACACGTGAGTGCCATCAGGACCTAAGAACAGGGGGTGTGTGTGAGGGAACAAAGGGGCATGAGGGACATTTGGGGTTGACAGAAGTGTTCTCTATCAGGATTATAATGGTTCCACCTCTGTATATATTTGTCAAAATATTTTTCATTGCACATCTAAAATTGGTGATTTTATTATATTTAAATTTACCTCCATAGAGCTGATTTTAAAAGGGAGAAACTGCACTAGAATAGGAACATCTACCTTCTTCTCCAAGTTATTCACAATCACCGGTGGCCACATGTGGACATGTCCATGTTTTCTTGATGATAATTAAGAGTTAAAGGAAGTACTGGATAGTCCTCAAACATGGACCAAGTACACATAGAGATGTTGTCACTCCTTTTTTCGAATTACAGTTCTGGTTGGTTATATTCTCTAAAAATGTCTGCAATGATATTTACCATCCCATTAAAGAAAGGGACTGAAGAATTCACTTTATGTTTTTGATCCTCAACTTTTCTATATCATTTATTATTTTAAATCCTGCTATTTTAAAAATATTCATGTCACAGAGGAAAAATGATTTATTAGATTTTTTTAAGGACATTCTAAATTTTATAGCAACATTGAAGGAGTAAAAGTTTCTGACGGTCCTAAAGTTCATCGATGAGTCTGAGATGGAAATGATGAAAGCTTCAAGTCTAACCCGAGCATGGGGTCTGCAGTGGTGGTGATTTGAGGCACCAATCCTGTCTGCCATGTTTCTAGTCACCTGTTCATCGAGGGCTGAAGCTGTGGTATTAAACATACAACCCTTTTGGTTAAATGGTGTTTCCCTTCTAAAGTACAATACAGAGAGCTTTGTGACAGTAGAATATCGGTATGACAAAGTTATGAGACCCTTTATAACATGCTTACTAGCCGAGAGCCATTCCTGATGGAATTATAGAGAAAAAAAGCAGGGAGGTGTGGGTGTCATTGTGAGTTAAGACACATGATGTCTATGTTTCCAACATTGGCGATATTATCTTTGATCACTTGGTTAATGTGCTGTAAGAAAGGGCTTTCCTTTCTCTCCCATTATTAACTCACTGATATCAGCA